AATAGATTTGTCTCTTACAAAGTTGTATGCAATAACACATGGGTTTCCAGAACTTGGGTTAAAAGGCATTGCAGTCGGTCAACTAGTATGGTTGATTGACGTTCAAAAGTTTCAGTGAAGGGCAATTTTTTTGTGTCTCAAAAGATTGGCATGGTTGACAGTGGGCTTAAGTCTTTGCTTTGCTTGAGCGGCAGGGACTCAACAAGATATAGGCTGGGCCGAAATGGTTCAGCACCTGTGCAAAATTATCTTTTCAAAACAGTTCGGTCGTTTTTACCGACGATGTCCATCAGCAAAGCAGGCACAGGGACGGTGATTTGCGCATGAATTAATTTATAGTACCATACTTCCGTACCTCACTCACCTGAGCCCGGTGTGTCAAACAGACCGACAATGGCACAGTAGCTAAAAAAGGTACGCAACCCGTTTTAATTGATGCGCATATGACCCATGTGATGACCGAATTTCATTGGTAAGTGCGGACAGGTAATACGCGAGTTGTGGGTGTATTTTGGTTCGCCGATCACAGTGCGACAGATTCGTCAATGACCGAGCGGACCAATGCATGATGCAAAGTTACGGTGACAGTAAGGAGGAAATGGGACTTTGTCTACGAAACTGGCTTTGGTGGTGACGATGTTGGCCGTGCTGGTGATAGAGTTTTCTGTTAAGCCAACGTAGTCTTTCAGTTACCGTTGACGCCTCAAAAGGAGGTGTTGGTACGGAGGAGGTCGTGTTCTTTACAAGCATGCGAGAGAGGACTATGACTGTTACAATTTCCAATTCCGTCTCGACGCAGCCCTTGCTCCCTGGTCGCGTGATCGACGCCAAGCTACCAAGGACAATAAACGTGTCCGTCTTCGGCACAGTCTTTCACCACGTCGTCGGAGCTGTTCATTGAGGGAACGCAAGAGTTGAAGACGGGGACGAATTCTTTGCCGTGGAGTGGCCGCTTCATCCACATGAGACTATCGCTAATGTCGTGCACCAGGCTGGCCAGCCATCTTACTAAGTCCTTGATGGCGAAAACGACTTCGGTTCTTCGTAATTTTGCTCTGGGAGTCCGCTCCGGAAGAAGATGTCTTCGGCATCCACTTCTATTTGTTCTTTTTCGGAGAAACTTCTCGCCGAGAGCCAGGGTAAGTGCTTTGTTGCACGGCAGTTCACGGACGACAAGGGCTCTTCTTCCACCCCAACTGGTTTGACATTGGATTATCTGAAATTGGGTTGCTCTGCGGGTCATCTAAAAGAGGACGAACATTCCAGGCTGCCAGAGTTAGCTGTGCCCTCTGTCAGCCTTTGCGAAGGTGCGGAAGGCGTCTGTACGCGTTCTCACAAACACTGGTTGCTTGCTGTTCACCGCAGGCCTCCGCGGACCACAGTCTGAACTTAAAAAATCACATTTACGGCCTGCAGATGGACCTTTTTTAGCACGTTACTTACCACCGTTTTGTGAAATTTCCCGTGTACCAGTGAGAAGCCTTGCTACCATGAGATAAAGACCTGTGCAAACTGGTACTAGAGCCGCTCCACTTCGCGCATACAGACATGTGTGTCTTCGTTTTTTAGCCAGATAACTGACCTTAGTGTTTCTTACTGGCTGGGTCATGCGTCCTGGCTGTCCTGACAGCGTGGCGACGAGTATGAGAATACAAGTAGATCTTGGAGCCTGCGTTGCATACCTCTCACCTAACCTGTGTTGTTCTCCAAAGGCAGCGCCAACGACAGTGTAACAGTTTTTCTCCTGACTTCAATAGGCTGCATGGTCTTCTGCGCCATAGTGAAGCGTGGTCAGTGTGGCGGCCCTCTACATCCTTAGCTGTGGTGGGTATGTATACGTATGATTTTAGGCGCCTGCAGGTTTAACTTACTCTGAACATTCCAACTGCAATTTTGCATTTGGTGGTGCTGTATCTCTCCAATTCCAGGTGGGGTAGGGGGGAGAGTGTGCGTTTG